AGAAATCGCACCAGTGTGAACCGAGCCTTATAGAGACACTGTTACCTTGTCCATTGAGGTGTAAAGCCCACCTCTGATCGTGTTGTCAGATGATGTCGGAGCTTAGAGAGCATAGTGAGGTCACTTCCTCTACTAAACTTTATCAGGTTGGTCTGATTGTAAATGCAGAAAAATCTATATATTTGTGAAATCAAAGAAGAATTGATATGCTTATTATATTCTCTAACAATTAAAATATTTATATGTAATATACAATCTTATACTATAATTATTCGTATAACTGATATACAGTTATTAAAATATTATTAGTAATTGTACTTCAGTCACCAACAGTTCTCTCATTACTTGGAGACTCTTGAGCTCTCTGCACTAAAATTGCCAGGCCGACTTACCTGCTGTGAGTGTCCATCTTGTTGGACTTGGGAAGTCTCATTTTCGCTGTTGGCATTTGAGACTCTGTGACAGTGGCTTTCATAGATTCTGATAGAAATAAAGCATGTCACTTATCCCTGGTGGAGAGCATTAAAGTTGAACTCCAGGATAAACTTAAATACTATCTAAATGCAAGATTCTTCCTTGAATCTTGGTGTGCTTTGTGTATTTCTTCCAGATTTGTGCAGTAAACCAGTGTGAACCTATTCCTTTGTGCAGGAGATTCCAGTAGTAAAGACCTGTCAATGCTGCTCTCTCTCTTTGTGCAGGGTGACTGGTCTTATCTCCACCCCGTCCTGTAGTTTCTTGCAGACAACCTGTGGTGGGTGGGCCCTCTGGGTCCCTCCCTCTCTGCAGAGGTTATGTACAGCATGGTAATCATGTCAATGCTGCCTTTTCAAGGTAATACTTTGGTGGACAAAGGTATTTAGTGTACAAAAAGTGGATTTATATCATTTGTGGCTGTTGAGATGTATATTTACATAAAAGTTATTCCTGTCCGGAATTCATCATTAGATTGTAGAAAACTGAGATCGGTAAAATTACACAGTAGTTCCTAATCCATACATCTCAAGTAATCATACTAAATGTGAATACCTAAACCACTAACTAGCTTGGATTCTAAAATGGGATCAGTTCCTGGTGTTGGTCGCAATTTTTAATACATAATAGCTTCTTTGGAAAGAATTGCAATGAACTCTGTTACTTATGTAAGCAGTTTGTTGCATTATATGGATTCCAAGATTTATTCAAAATGAGGGACATTTCAGGATTCCAAGGTGAATTAGTTCAGTGCATTGATGGTTATTCAGATAGTTTAAACTGCAAATTGGTGTTTTTTTTAAATCTGTGTTTTACTTTAATTGAATGCATATGAAAGCATTAGAGGGCAGAATACATCTGTGCTGCATATGGATGCTTAACTTAAAGGCTGCTTTGACGTAACTCGTCAACTGGAGTGTAATTCTAGCAAGTCATTACTGTAAGCATGGTAATAGGGGCAAAAAGGAATACGTTGTATGTGATCTCCTCAAACCGAAGTATTGAATTGTTCAGGAATGACAAATTAGAAGGGACCAGAAATTGCATCTCACTAGGCATGCTGCCAGACATAGTCAAGACACGTTACAAATATGACAGAATATGCCTGGAGGAGCACAAAGGCGCCTCAAGCTGAAGAAAAATGTGTTTATGTGTGTGCATTTCTGTGTGGATGAAAAGGGGGGAGGACATGGGATGGCATAGTAAATTTAGTTTGAGGGAGTGCAGTTATCTCCCTTGGTGGGTGACCTAAGAGCTTGCCATTTTTTAATGGTGGTTTGCTCCATTAATCATAGGATTTAAATACCAACTGAGTCAGCACAAAGTTGTTCCCCTTTAACTCTTTTATGATGGTCCAAAGGAAAATAAGGCATTACAACCACACTTTTTTTATTATAATTTTTTTAGTTTGCTTTTTTTGATTTTCATCCAATGCTTCGTTCCTTTTTTCTTTTCTCCCCTTCTCACTCGACTTCAAATGTAAATATATTTCTTCCTATATGTATGGAAAATGCTAAGCACAAATACAGTTTACTCTTTAGAACAAGAAATACCACAATGTAGTGCACTGTGTGGGTGTATTGGATTGGGCAAGCTGTGCCATGTTTGTTGAATATTAATTAAAGAGTTGATATAAAAATGCAATTTGGAAAAGAAATATGGGGTTATAGTTGGCATGCTCCTCATACACTCACTGGCCACTTTATTAGGTACACCTGTTCAATTGCTTGGTAACACAAATTGCTAATCATCCAATCACGTGGCAGCAGCTCAATGCTGTCATGTAGACGTGGTGAAGATGAAATGCTAAAGTTCAAACCGAACATGAGAATAGGGAAGAAAGTGGATTTGATTGAACATGGCATGGTTGTTGGTGCCAGACAGGCTGGTCTGAGTATTTAAAAAACTGCTGATCTACTGGGATTTTCACACACAACCATCTCTAGGCTTTACAGAGTATGGTCTGAAAAAGAGAAAATATCCAGTGAGTGGCAGTTGTGTGGACGAAAATGCCTTGTTGATGTCAGAGGTCAGAGGAGAATGGGCCTACTGGTTTGAGATGATAGAAAGGCAACAGTAACTCAATTAACCACTCATTACAAGCAAGGTATGCAGAATACCATCTCTGACACAAAGAATTAAGGCAGTTCTGAAGGCAAAAGGGAGTCCAGTCTGGTACTAGCAAGATGTACCTAATAAAGTGGCTGGTGAGTGTATACTCACATACAATCAGTTTTACAGTTATGCTGGTTACTGCTGATACACTAGTGGTTCTTGGGTTTGCTATATTGGCAAGACTAGTAATTATATTTGACAGTTCTCCAAAGCATGATGAACCTCACTCATTCTAGGAAAAATAGATTAGAAAAGTGTTGCCAAAACCATTTCCACGAACAGAAACTATTTTTGTGATAACCACGCCTATGCACAGCTGTGGTCTTATGTGTCTCAGCAACTCAATTTCATTATCCATGTAGATATTTGTAATACATGATCTATTGGTGGGACCTAAGGCCACGATTTGGACCACTGGATCTTTCAGAGCTGCAAACTAACTTCTTTCTTTTATAGCTTTTAGAGAAAACTTTGGGATGTTAAAAAAAAACAAACCTGCATACTCAAGTAAATGCAGCATCGGTCTGATGCTGCATCTGTCCCCCTCTGCTTCTAAGACTGGAAACTGAGCAATCAAAGACCAGTTCTCGGTCTTCAGTGAGCAGAGAGCTGGTGACTGTCAGAGTATAAATTTCCCCAATGGGTGCAGACAGAAAAAAAATAATATAGGCTTCGGTGCTAACTCTTCCAGTTATATGCAAATGATAAAAATGTGAAAAAAGTTTTAGCTTTAAATAAAAAATAAATGCTTTTGGGAGGATCAGAGCTCAGTAAACTTTAATTGGTTGCTGTATGGCTAAGTTTTGTCTCTTTATGAATAACTAAAAGTATCTAGTTGGAGGAAAACTTGCACTACGTTTTCAGTTTGTGTGAACATTGAGTGTTGTGCCTTTGTGTAAGCTCTAGCAGATCATTACTGTCAGTTCTTCTCAGCTTTCACATGTGTGTATGTAATGTTGAATCACCAAAAGATGAAAAAGAACAACAGAGTAGTCAGAGACAAGCAAATTGATATAGATCAAACATCTAATGGTCATAATATTTTAAACCAGAAGTGATTGTGCTAAGTGTCACTAGTGAATGCAAATAAATAGTACAAATAACTCCATAGTAGCCACACTCACTATATTGCACATATACTATAGATAGAAATAGCAAATTATCCTAATTGTGTTGCCCTGCTCACAAATACAACGTGCATGTGCATAACAATTAACAGTTAAGAAATAAATAACTCAAATTCATAGACAAATAAAAGTTCATATAAATGCTTATAAAGTGTTAAATCCACAGTCTGTGACCAAACGAGAAATCCTGTGCAAATATGGCAGCTCAAATACTACCACAGATGAGCAGAGTCTTCACCGCTTGTGTACACAGTCCCAAACTGCTTACCAAATCCTCAGACCTCAGAGAGAAGGAGGTCTGGCTAGACATTAAGGGAAAAGACCCAAATGGATGGATGAAAACCTCATAGTATGTCAAACGGAACTCATCACGCCGGCAACAGCAATCCACCATGAGATGGGCTGACTCAAGGTTATGTAAATGACAAGCAAGAGGGAGAAGATCTCTCATGATGTAGTATTAAAACCAAATTTATTAAAATAAGAAAGCTACTAACATATATAAAAGGTGAATTGGCATCACAGTATCAGTATATCCAGATCAAGGCCTCGCCAGGCGTGATAGCAGAGCTACAGAGATGATGTCATCACGCACGCTGAGGCATTGATCAGGATGTACTGATGCTGTGATGTCATTTTAACTTTTATATTTGTGAGTAGCTTTCTTATTTTAATAAACTTGGTTTTAATACTACACCATGAGAGATCTTCTCCCTCTTGCTTGTCATTGACATCATCTTGAGTCGACCCATCCCACGATGGATTGCTGTTGTGATGAGTTTTGTTTGACACACTATGCAGTTTTCATCCATCCATTTGGGTCTTTTCTTTGTAGCCAGACCTCCTTCTCTCTGAGGTCTGAGGATTTGGTAAGCAGTTTGGGATTGTTGGTGTACACAAGCGGTGAAGAGTCTGTTCATATGTAGGACTATTAGGGCTGCCATATTTGCTCATGATTTCTCGTTTGGTCACGGACTGTGGATTTAACACTTTATGAGCACTTACATGAACGTTTATATATCTAAGAATTTGAGTTATTGATTGATTTATTTATTAGCTGTTTATTGTTATGCACATGCATTTTGTATTTTTGAGCAGTGCAGCACAGTAGGGATGCACCGAAATGTCAGTGACCTAAACGTTTTGGCTGAAAACATCCCTTTCAGCCGTTGGCCGAAAAGAAAAAAGCACCGATACAGGTGCTGAAAAAACCCGCCCCTCGCCACTGCCCACCCTTCGCTGCCATCACCGGCCGCCGCTCGGTAATTCTCAGCCTCACCTGAGAAACCATCGATCCCGCTGCTGGGCATAGAGATGAGTGAAGGAAATATGGCCACCACCGGGGCGGACTGACAACTCATGGGGCCCCCGGGCAATAGGGGATCATGGGGCCCCTGTGTTCTTGCCCAAACTCAAAAAAGCCTATGAAAAAGGTACCAGGGGCATCTCATGGGGCCCCCTACTGACCCCGGGCCCTCGGTGCTCGAGTTTCCAAATGGTCAGTCCGCCCCTGGCCGCCACTCACCTGTATGCCCTTGGAGGACCAGAGTGATGTCGCTTCCAGTTCCGGCCATTTTTTTTTTTTTTTAAAGCACTAGATGAATGCTTTTTTTTTATTCAATGCATTACATTGCAGAGGAGAAATGTGGGGTCTTAATGACCCCATATCTCTCCATAAAGAGGACATGTCACTAATTATTTCTATCACAAGGGATGCATGCATTTCTTGTGATAAGAATAAAAGTGATTGAATTTTTTTTTAAAGGCACAGTGCAAAAAAAAAAAATTCATAATTTTTTTTAAAAAAGTTTAAAGTTCCCCCATCCCCCTGTGCTCGCACGTAGTGGTGAACGCATACGTAGGCCATGCCCACATATGTAAATGGTGTTCAAATCACACACGTGAGGTATCACCACAAACGTCAGAGCAAGAACAATAATTCTAACACTAGACCTCCTCTGTAACTATATACTGCTAACCTGTAGAAATTTTTAAAGCATTACCGTGGAGATTTTTAAGTACCGCAGTTTCACGCCATTCCACGAACGTGTGCAATTTTAAAGCATGACATGTTGGGTATCTCTTTACTCGCCGTAACATCCTCTTTCATATTGTACAAAAATAGGGGTATATATATATTTTTTTTTTTTTTCGAAAAATTATATATTAATTTTTAAAAACTGCACATTTCGTTTTCGGTTTTCAGCCAAGTGCATTTTAAATTTTCGGTTTCGGCACCAGAATTTTCATTTCAGTGCACCATTAATAATTAGTCATAATATAATGGTTTTGTAATCTAAGGATCCTCTGTAATTAAACACCTAGTGATGTGGGAACTGGGCCCCATTTCCTGGCTTCTGTTTTCTGTGTTAATTCCTGACCCAGTATTTACTTTTAATACAGAGCACACTAAGCAGGTTAGTATTGATCACATGTTTCACAAGTTCTTGATGATTACTGGTTCCCGATGCATACCCTGCACATTTGACATCACTCACTCATGGTGAAGCATCAATGCGTTCTTTGCCAACTGTCAGATGCTTCCTTGCTCAACTTCACCATGTAAAATTAGACCAGCAAACCTATAGTCTTGGTGTGCTTTGCATAAAAAGTGTTGAATTCAGAGGGAACCACTTCACAACACTTTTTTTTTTTAATGGTTGAACTGGATGGAATTTTGTCTTTTTTCAGCCAGACTAACTATGTAACAACATACATGTGCACCCATCTCTACCGATGTAACTAACGATAGCCTTGTTAGTGTATTTTCTTCTTTACCTTTAAGAAAGAATGCACATTTCAGAAGTATCATGGAGTATTTGTGATCCAACTGAAAGGAGAGTCAGAGGATTTGCTGACCAATTTTATAATCCAAACATGTCTTACAAGAGACAGATATTCTGTACATCTCAGGATGTTTACAATTGACATTTTGCCCAGTATTCTTTGCAGTCTCATTCTAATGTTAAAAGGGCAGACAAACATTTGATGGCAGGACAAAGTAATATTACAGTGCAGTCCGTGGGTTGCTTACCGGAACAAGAAAACCTATCTATCATTTTGCGGTAGCACAAAATTACAAGCTGCGTTAACATAAGATAACATTTAAATTGCAATCTTCATGTTGGATTTGAAGTCAGAACAAACAGAAGTTGATGGTGTGGGGGTGTAGGAGACGTTCTACTGGTCTGCTTGAGTTCACACTGCTATTTGTTCCTAGAAGTTGGTTACAAATTCTTGACAAGTGGTGGTGTGACACATAGCTGAACCATTTTTGATGGGTTATTTACTTGTTGTATGTACTTAGATGGTGTATAGCACACATCTTCAAAACCATTTTATAATTTTTAGATGAGGGAAACATTTTTTTTCATTTTAATGTTATTCCCATATTTAATGCTCAACTTGCTACCACCACAGGGAGCTGAACCCATCAGTATCAAACGTTTAACCACTTCCAGTCTGGACACTTTCACCCCCTTCCAGTCCAGGCCAATTTTCAGCTTTCAGTGCTATCACACTTTGAATGACAATTGCACGGTCATGCAACACTGTACCCATATTATTTTTTTTGAGACAGATAAAACTTTATTTTGGTGGTATTTATTCACCGCTGGGATTTTTATTTTTTTGCTATATAAATGAAAAAGTCAAAAAAGTTTGAAAAAAAAGTGTTTTTCTTATAAACTTTTGCAAATAAATAATCTTTCTTCATTAATCTTGGCCAAAATGTTTTCATCTATCTTTTTAGTAAAAACAAAATAACCCAAATTAGTTTCTAACCAAAAATTATAATTTTTCAACTTTTTTTTTACATTTTTATTTTATTTTTTATATTATTTATGTTTTTTTTGTTTTGTTTTTTAACATACTGTCACCCTAGCAGTACAGTGTCACCATAGTGACACTGTACTACCTGTGAGGGGTGATGAAGATTTTTTTTTTTTTTTTTTACACTGATTGCTTTTACACCCATAAAGGCTGCAAAAGCAATCATTTCTCCTTCTCTCTGGCTGCATTCTTGCAGCCATTGAGAAATACTGTGAGTGTTGTGATTGGTCACAGCTTGTCACATGGTACAAGGCTGTTGTGAATAGCGTTGTACCATGTGACCTCTGTGACCATTTACAAGTAAGGAAGTAACATCTTGCTTACTACTATTCATGTGATCACTGATTGGCCAATCAGTGATCACATGAATTGGGACCTCACACAGAGGTCCCGTTCAGCGATCTGTGTTCCTCCGGACACAGCGGGCACTGATCTGCCCAACTGATACAGGCATTATCGCACCAAATGATGGCATTACACTCTGTACTGCCAATGCAATGCCAAATGATAGTATAACAATCCCTGCTGCAATTACAGTGCCAAATTATGGCATCACACTGGCCAAATAGATTTTTTTAAAATGTTGAATAACATGGCGGGATAGTTTAAAAATGAAAATTTTACCTTCATTTTTGTGGGATACAACAGAGACACAAAATACTGTTTTCAAACCTTATGTCTGGAGACTGATAGATTTAAGGATCCAGTTGGTGGTTCAGCCCAAAGTGGATTACATTTTTGTTTGTTGGGGTTCTCCGCTAACTCAGGAGAGGGAATGGGCATGGCCAAGCTGCGACTCTGTGTTTGAATGGACACGCAGAGACGTAGTTCAGGAGCCGCGCCTTCTCAGGTGCCCCCATAGCAAGCTGCTTGCAGTGGGGGCAGGAGGGAGGAGCCAGGAGTGCCGGCAGGGGACCCGAGAAGAGGAGGATTCGGGCTGCTTTGTGCAAAAGCACTGCACACAGCAGGTAAGTGTAGACGTGTTTGTTATTTATAAGAAGAAAAAATCATGACTTTAGTATCACTTTAAGCCAGACTTTTGTTTCTATAAAGCCAAAACCTTTTATTTTAGTTTTGGATAGAGTAAGAAATGGTTAAGACCACGTCAGCAGCTCTATACAAAGCAAGGGTAAATCTCTAATAGATGATAGAGCATGTTGTATGGGGTCAGGGCTTGCATAATGTTGTTATTTTATTTTTGTTTTCAACCTGAGGTTTGTATGAATACAGATTTTGTGTTATGTTATGGATATAAATTGCCTATGTGTAGTGCCTCTAAATTCCTACCATAATCTGTATGCATGGGATTCTCATATGGGCAGCTTCAGTTTCATCCAGCTTTCTCCCAAAAATATACTGCCTTTTATCCAAATTGAACCCTGATATGTATGACTGTACAGGTAGTCCCCAGATTACAAACAAGATACAGTAGGTTGTGTAGTTTTGTTCTTAAGTTGAATTTGTATGTAAGCTGGAATAGGTAAATTTTTTAAGTGTAACTCCAGCCAAAACATTATTTTTATGCTTTGAATAGTATAGTGAAGGGTTAACTGGCCATGCAGTGATGTGGGATTGCTGAGAGGTAGGTGGCAGCATCCGGTAAGCAGCAAGATGGCTGCCCGGCGGTTTTTGGTACCAGCGTGACATCACGCTGCCTCTTTTTTTAAAGTGTTACTAAACCCATAACAGTAAAACCAGTCGGTATATGCAGTAAAGCATGCTTGTTATACTCACTGTGGAACCTAAGGGGTTAATTCTCTGCATTGTGTAAAAAGGATGTTTTATCCTGTCTTCTCTGATCCTCTCCTTCTTAAAGTGTCTCCCTTTTAACTTCTGATAAGACGTATTGTTTGGAGACACTGCACATGCTCAGTTTGGTGTGTATTGCTAGAATGTTTTTTATTTTTCTTGAGAGAAGTGCATGTGATCAGCACAGGGCCAATCAGCACTGTCCAGACAGAGGAGAGGGGTTCTACATCCTCCTATAGAAAACTCCTCCTACAAGCTGTAACCAGTGCTCAGCTGGACACTGATAGAAGCCACAAAACTGCTCTAACTTCTGATGAGAAAAAAGTACTTAGCAGTTTATATTTACTAAAATAATTGCGTTTTCATGTTGTGTGTACTGTGGGAGACCAGGTAGAGTAAATGCAGGGTCCTGGGTTTAGTAACACTTTAAGCAATAGTCTAATGTAAGTCGAATGTTTGTAACTCGGGGACTGCCTGTAGTAGGGATGCTGGATGGTATCCTGCAGTGAGGTAAGAACTGAAGTAAATGTACAACACCCTATAAGATGCTTTTCAACATAGCAGTTATGAATAAATGAATACTGTAATGCAGATACTGAATACAATAATTACTAAAGGGTAATATCTATTGTAAACACAATACAGATGTGTGATGTTGACATACAGCCATATATTGTATTATGGTTCTTGCTCTCACATGCAGCCCTATAGTCCTCTTTTACCCCAGGTCACAGCTGTGCAGGCATTGCTTCAAAAAGATCAGCGTTCGTTACATATTGCATTCTATTCTTCTTTAATGTTTGGATGATTCAAATTGTTCTCACTCCTACAAAAGCTGCCAGCATCACGACAAGTAGGACATCAGAAGTCTAAACAAAAACATGCGCTGACCCTAGCTGCATACAAATGAAATGGTGCTGGCTCCCGGTTTCATTTTTTTTTTAAATAGTAGAAGAGGAGCAGATTCACTGATTTAGCTGCCAATGACTATAATAAATAATGCAGACAAGGACATGCTAATGTAATATTCAGGACCAGTCAGTCCAATGTAGGAGGCAATTTTGTGTGGATGGGAGATTTTCATAATTAAAACAAAATAAAAAAGAGGCAGATATCATTTTAAGCATATTGGTTACCTGGCTTCTGGGATTTTATCATCACTGAAATACTGTTATTAATTGTAGAACCATTTGCCGACCACTCTATAGCAGATATACTGCTACAGGGTGGCTGTTTGGTGCAACATCATGTATATATATCTGATTCTGCACTTCCTGGTGTTGGGGGCATGCGCGTGCCCCCTTCATACCGCTTCTGCTGTGATTAGTTACAGCAGAAACCGATCAATGGGTGCCGGACAATGGATGAGCCCATTGATCAGTGAGGGGAGTGACAGGACACAGCTCTGCCTATGTCATGGGTAGGCAACCTGCGGCTCTCTAGCTATTGTGGAACTACATTTCCCATGAGGCATTGCAACATTACAAAACTGACAGTTACAGCTATGACTTGCAGAGGCATGATGGAACTTGTAGTCCTGCAACAGCTGGAGAGCCGCAGGTTGCCTACCCCTGGCCTATGTAAACAAGAGTCGTGTCCTGTCAGTGGCAATCTGCTGGATTTTCTTTCCCTGCAAAGCAGGGAATAAAATCCAGCACATTGCTTAGTAAATTCACCACGCTGTGTACATAAAAACACTAGTTAGGTACACAGTTAACCCTTTAATCTCCATAGATGTTTAACCCCTTCCAAGCCAGTGCCATTAGTACAGTGACAGTGAATATTTTACACTGATCACTGTCTTAGTGTCGCTGGTTCCCACAAAGTGTTAGTGCCAGATTGTCTGCCGCACTAAATAAAAAATTCCAGTATATATACCATAGTCTGTAGGTGCTATAACTTTTGAGCAAACAATCAATAAACGCTTATTTGAATTTTTTTTTACCAAAAATATGTAGCAGAATACATATTGGCCTCAATGTATGAAGAAATTAAATTTTTTAAAAACATTTTTATTGGATGTTTTATAGCAAAAACTAAAAAAAATTATATTTTTTAATTGTTGGTCTTTTTTTTATAGCGCAAAAACTTAAAAATCTAGAGGTGATCAAATACCACCAAAAGAAAGCTCTATTTGTGGGGAAAAATGACATAAATTTAATTTATCTACAGGGTTGCATGGGTTGTATAGCAAAAATGGCCTGGTCATGAAGGGGGGTAAATCTTCTGGAGGGCAAGTGCTTTTAATTTTGCTTTGATGTTGTGTCTCCTTTAACTGCTTCCCTGCTGCCCTATAGCAGAAATACTGCTACAGAGAGGGGGCGGCAGGGCTTGGTGATTACCTCCCTGTCAGCTCAGACACACTGCTCTGGATGCTTTGCACAGCACAGCCATCCAGAGCAGTTTGCTTACAGTGAAGCACCAACACACCGCCCCCCCAGTAAAACACTCCCAGCATACAGTTAACCCTTTGATCGCCCCTCATGTTAACCGCTTCCTGCTCAGTGTCATTAGTACAGTGGCAGTGCTTTTTTTTTAGCACTGATCACTGTATTGGTGTCACTAGGGATGTCAGTGACACCAAGTCAGTTCCCCCCAGTATCGGAATGGCCGCCACAGTCGCACTATAAGTCGCTGATCCCCTCCATTACTCGTGTAAACCAATTAATTTACACGTATTGGGATTTTTTTTTAGCAAAGACATGTAGCAGAATACATTTTGGCCTAGATTTATGACAAAATTAGATTTTTTTTACTGGACATGTTTAATAGCAAAAAGTCAAAAATATTGTTTTTTTCTCAAAATTGTCAGTCTTTTTTTTTTTCATAGCACAAAAAATAAAAAAGCACATGCAATCAAATACCACCGAAAGAAAGCTCAATTGGTGGGATAAAAACGGCATAAATTTCATTTGGGTGCAGCGTTGCATGACTGCGCAATTGTAAAAGTAAAGTTACGCAGCGCCGTAACGAAAAAAATGGCCTGGTCAGGAAGGGGGCTAAATCCTCAGGAGGGCAAGTGGTTAATGTGACATAGCTATTTTTTTGTGGGGTTTTTTTTTCAAGTAAGTAAAACTATTTCTGCTTACTACCTTTATCTCTCTACATGCTCAAAGAAGCATGGGTATTTAACGTTTACTGAAAAAGGAATAGAAAAAATAGAAACTGGCATTCATTAGGCTTGCAAAGAACAGTGTAAAGTTACGTAGAAAAGTTTGCCTTTGTTTAGCTCTAAAGATAAAGTTGCCTCTTTTTAAATACATTTAGTGTTTTGGTACTTTAAATTCTTTCTTTAGATCACAGCATAAACTACATTGACTGTTTTCATTACTTTTTGCACTTAAAAAAAAAAAATCTGAAAGCTCAATAAATAGCAGAGCAATGTACAAGGTGATAATACCTGATATATTGAAAATAACTCTGTGGTTTCGATTTAGGTAATGTAAACCGTGCAACAGATAGATATCTGCAATTAATTCAGTGGTGGCACATTACATACACTGAACTCACCGTTACCTTCTGCTTAAGCATCTCAGTTAATTGAGGGATCAGAATACCAAAAGCTGAAATTAAAACCTACGTGTCTGTTGATGGGTGAACTTAAAGAGAAGGTACTCGGTTTACCTTTTTCCAGACCAAAAAGTGAGCTATATGGTCCCATTGAACAGTGGGACACAATATATTTTTTATGTAGAATTAGCTATGTGAAGAACATCTGCAGCCTTTTATAGAGATATCAGCCTCCTTCAATAAAGTTATACAAAGAGCGGTGGTGGTGTTCAAAGTGCAGTATAGTGATTAGTGATGGTCGAATTTGTTCATCGATTCAACATGGGTTCTGGAATTCTTGTTTGGCAAACCCAAACCTAAATTCTCTTTGAAGTCACTAATAAACAAACTACTGGCAAATAGGATATGGGAAGCTAGGTTTAAGTGCATATACACAATTAAAAAATGCACAAATTCTTTAAATAACGTGTTTGGGGGATGGGTTTAAGCTATACATGTTGTTGCAAAACTGCAGAATTTTCTCAGTGACAATGTCCCCTCTCAGTGAATGTTTGGATGTTGAATTCATTTTTTTTTTTCATTTACAAATAGCTTGGCCTACATGCAGCAACAACACCCTAGTCTGATTAATGTGTAAAGAAATATTTTTCCGGTAGATTTAGCAGCACATACATTTTCATAAAATAGGCCTGCTTTGGCTGGCAGATAGAAATTGGCCAGTAGTTTGCTGCGGCTCACTGATACAAAACTGCCCTGTCACTGGCCAATTTCTATCAAGTTCTCATTAGAAATTACAATCTTAAAAAGAGGCTGCAGATGACATAGCAATGTAAAATTGGCCAGCAGCAGGCCAATTATAAATAGCAAGGCTAGGCCCAAATTTACTTGAGACAAAGAACACAGGCAGGGGCTTTGTATTAGGATACTTCAGGGGATACAGCAGTTGAAAATTTGACAGTAGCAGGATCGTTTTAATCAGGGATAATAGGCCAAAAGAATACAGACATCTGTTTTACTAAAAGAATAAAGAAACTATTGATGACAAAGTAGTCTAAAATTTTGCCATGAACAGGATCTTTTTTGATGAGTAAGGCTAGGTCCAAATTTACTAGAGACAAAGAGCACAAGAATTAATATACTGGAGAGAATAGAGTACTGTTTAATTAGCCAGCAGCAGGACAGTTTTAATTAGGGATAATAGGCCTAACTGGTGCATACCTAACTTTTATTTATTGGAATGGGGGTGTTGTAAATATGAGTGATATAATGTGAGGTGGTTTAATTGTATAGTGTTTGTGCAACTGAACAAAAGTAACAATCCAATTTGAGCACCTCAAAAGTAAAAAAAAAGGCCCCGCCAACTTACAATTTAAATAAAAAAATCCACAAAATATCACCCCTGAAACAACAGCCCTTTTTTAAAGTGGAGACTTGAAACACAAAGGCCAATTTAAACTAAAATAAATTACCTATCAATGAAAATAAATGAAAACATCTAAATAACACTCCTGAAACAAAAGGCCATTTTTAAAGGAAAGAAACAAAAAGTTTGCTATGAATGGGTCAGCAGCTAAAAGTTACTACTGACTACAAATAAACTACAAAGCAAAATGAAAGACAAAAAGGACACCAAATTTAAGAGCCATAAAAGGCAGCAAAAACAGATTGCCCAAAGAGCTAGCAATCAGAATAAAAAGCTAGCTGACAGTAATTTCTTCCTATACAGTTTTCCAGCTTTTTCCACATTCACTGACACTATGGGGTTTATTTACTAAAACTGGAGAGTGCAGAATCTGGTGCTGTGTTGCATAACAACCAATTAGCTTCCAGGATTTTTTGCCAAAGCTTAATTAAAGAAGCTGCAGTTAGACGCTGATTGGCTACCATGCATAGTAAATCTACTCCTATGGCTGCTCAGTGCCCCTTCTTTTACTGTGAGTGGGTGACTTAAACAAAAGCCTGCTCATTGGCCCTTCCAGGTGTTTTAGCCATAAAAAAACATGGAAGGCCATGGAAAGCATTATGGGGTTAATTTATTAAAGGCAAATAGACCTTGCACTTTGCAAAGTGCAATTGCACTCTGCAAGAGTAGTTGCTCCAGAGCTAAGTAAATGAGCTGACTTCCATCTTCCAATCATGTGCGTGCAAAAATGCAGTTTTTTTTATTTTCCTTCCATGTGATTGGGTGTTCTTTCCAAAGTGAAGCTGTACCTCATTTACTAAGCTCTGGAGCAACTGCACTTGCAGAGTGCAAGGTCTATTTGCCTTTAGTAAATCAATCCCTATTCACCCTAGCAAGTCTGCACATACATTTGTTAAGATTGTGAATCTTGACCCTACAGAATTTATGGCAAACCCATAGCAGCAGTGAACCCAAACCAAAGCCCTGATAGTTACCAATATTAGTAATACGTGTTAAGTGATTATTTCTGATTGGTTTTGATTATTGATTCTGAATCTTCACTTTTGTAGAACAGTATTCTTGCTGTTAGGTAGGTGAACTAGGAATACATGTGCATAGCTGCATATTGCCTTTATTTACAGGAACAGTTTTAAATATTTCATATATGTTCCTATAAATGTCCCTGGGCTCTGGTATTGACCAACCGTAACATCCATCTTTTTCTGCATGTTAAACCTAATTTATGTTGTCTAGTTTTGCTTGCTGGACTTTTTAAAGTTAGTATACATTGACAAGCAGCATATCAAGTTTCCATTTAATGAACATGACATAGTTGCATATATAATTCACTGTTTCCTCAGTATTGAAAGTAAGATCTCGTTTACAAAACAGGAATAGGCTGCACACACAAGGAACAGAGATCACAGCATAAAAGAACCAATCTGGGGCTTTTAGGACTGTAAGTAGGTTCTTATTAGGTCCTCATAGACATAAGATACAGTAAATGCACCAACTGCTATGTTGAAAATATAGATTTTGTTTTCTTTCTAACTGGGAAACATTTTCACGGCTGAATGTATCACCAAGATCTTAAACAGATCAATGATCTTCACCCCATTACTTAATGGTCAGTAAAGGACTTGAGTTCTTGCCTTATGGTTCCTCACCCCATCTATTATCTTGAGTGAGTACGTTCATTTGACCATCACCATGATAAGTCCCACCTGTGTGTTATTGAAAGTGTCAGCAATTCCGGTAGTCTAATGTGTCTGGTCACTGGACTGCCACACTAATTGGGCACAATGGGATCAGTTAGTTTGCCATAATGCCCTCCCCTGTGTTGTTGTTTTGGGCATAGATATGGCTTCTCTTTCATCAATAAAAATAATTTAACCTTGTAAGGATATGTGTATTTGGAAACTTTGAAAAATAATCTCATCTGCTGGGTGAAAAAAACAAATTATCCTGAAAAAGCACAATTTATAAGCCGTACTGTGAAAAAATATTGGGGACGAGAATGTATAATATACTGTATAACGATATACCTTTATAAACTGTAATTCTAAAAATGCCAAGAGAAGCCTAAAAAGGTATATAATATAAAAAATTATTACGAATTCCTGTTATAGTGCTGTCATTGAAATATTTTCTTAGACTTGTTCACTAGATGTTTGTAATTAACTCTGCAATGATATGATTAATTAGTTGTGCTTATATTATGTATCATTTTCTGCGCCAATAGAGCCATCTGCATATAAAGCACAACATATAATAAGCCAGAGCATGCTGTATAAAGTCCATCTGTTATGTAGGTGTATATTAATGTGATTAGTAAACTCAGTAATCTGTCTTTAAAACATTATCATGACAAACACACTGTCCTCTCTGTTTTCAGTAAAATCCGAATGATGTGTTAGTAATTAGGATAATACGGATTTTAACACTGTCTGGAAAATAATTCTTATTGCCAAGTCGCAAATAAGAATTTAAAGACTACTGAATTAGTTGTGCCAAAGGCATAGGTTAAATTATAAATATCTTGCTTTTTTTTTCTTTTAATAAAGCCTGTTGTTATATACTGTATATTTTTATGTACTGGTGAAACACTTCCAATACGACATAAAAAATCAAATATCATATGACCTCATACCATCTCTTAGATTGTAAGCCCCAAGGAGCTGGGTCCTCCAACCCTCTTGTATTGAACTGTATTGTTGCTGTATTGTCTCCCCGTTATATTGTAAAGTGCTGAGCAAACTGTTGGCGCTATATAAATCCTGTATAATAATAATAATACCATAACCCTTTTCATAAACAGATTCCCCCAGTATTCAGTATCCTTTTGTGAATGTACAAAAAAAAAAAAAAAATCTAACCAAAGATAATCACTAGGCAAAAAATAAGGATGGTTCCAATCAGAATGTCCTAGTTCTTGTGGCAAATGAACACAGGTGAAATGTCATCAGATTAAGAATGTTAGTTTGTGGGTCTCCACAAAGAGGCGGTGGGGTGTGGGTAAAAGGCTGATATTACAATCAGGATGTAGTAGATAAGAGTATGGTGTTGTTGACTAGCCTGAGCCTTTGAGAAAGCCGACTGGGGTGCAACGCGTCAGGGAGGCAGTGACCTCATCATGCTGGGCAAAGCTTAGATGCCATTTTGGAAAGTTAATTATGCTTGTGAGTGGATCTTTAATTTTCTCATGGAAATACACTAGCAGTCTGCACTATTGGATGTTTCTTTGCTTCCTTTTAATATATCTATTCCTGGCAGATCGGTAATGACCAGGTGAATGCTGAAGAAGATAGTGGTCTCTAATAGAAAAGTGCAATTGGCCCTCCTTTTGCAGTGGAGTCCATGATATAAGGTGAGGAGATACCCATGAGGTGTGTTTGTTCACACTGAAGAAAGTCATGTTGTTGTTCTGACAAGAAGTAATATATCAATTGAAGATTGCACGAAGATTGGTTGGTGTATGCGACATTGGATTATACTTTTTTCTTTATGCTTTAAGAGCTATACTGTGTGTGTATATATTATATATATATATATATATATATATATATATATATATATATATATATATATAGGGTTTTTTTGCACATTTACAAAAGGATACTGAATACTGGGGGAATCTGTTTATGATAAAGGGTTATGGTATGATGTTATATGATATTTGATTTGTTATGTCATATTGGAAACGCTTCACCAGTATTTGATTTTGATTCATTACAGTGGATTTTGATTCATCACAGTGGAATGATTAGTTGTGAGTAAAAGGGTTTTTCTATTTTTTTATTTTGTATATTTTGATGTAGCTTGCAATTCTCTGCCAGTATTTTAGTGCTGCCAATAGACAGGCAAAGTTTAACCACCTCCCTCCCGCCATATGATGGACGCAAGGTGGTTCTCTCACTCTGGGATATGTCATATGACGTCCTCCCATTCTCACCGCACATGTGCGGCTCAGGGAGCGCGCAGTACGGCGATCGGCGGTGCGCTGTGTCCCTCGGACACAGCGGATCACCGATCACGGAAAGAGCCGAAGATGTTGGCTCAGTCATGTGATCAGCTGTGTCCAATCACAGCTGATCACATGTAAACAGGGAAATGCCGGTTATCGGCATTTCTCTCCTCTCAAGCTGTCACGCTGACAGCTCGAGAGGAGAGCCGGTAATCGGCTTTCTGCGGAGGGGACATCTACACTGATCATCAGGGCACTGATGATCAGTGTGCCCTGATGATCAGTGTAGCCCCAGCTTAGCCACCTGTCAGTGTCCATTAGTGCCTTGTGTCAGTGCTCATCCATGCCACCTGCCAGTGCCACATCAATGCCACATATCAGTGCCTACCAGTGCACATCAATGCCACATATCAGTGCCCATCTGAGCTGCCTTTCAGTGTCACCCATCAGTGCCAGTCAGTGCCACCTATCAATGCCAATCGGTGCCACTTATCAGTGCTGCTAATCAGTGCCAGTCAGTGCCGCCTATCAGTGCCTGTCAGTGCCGCCTAACAGTACCGGTCAGTGCCGCCTAACAGTGCCAGTTAGTGCCGCCTATCAGTGCCGCCTATCAGTGCCATATATCAGCGCCATATATCAGTGCCGCCTATCAGTGCCATATATCAGCGCCATATATCAGTGCTGCCTTTCAGTGCCCATCAGTGATGCCTGTCAATGCCCATCAGTGCCACCTACCAGTGCCTCCTCATCAGTGTCCTTCAGTGCAGCCTATCAGTGCCCATCACTGCACCCTCATTAGCGCACATTAGTGAAGGAGAAAAATCACTTATTTACAACATTTTATAACAAAAACTAAGAAAAAATGTTTTTTGTTTTCAAAATTTTCAGTGGTTTTGGTTTGTTTAAGAAAAATAAAAAAAACCCAGAGGTGATTAAATACCACCAAAATAAAGCTCTATCTGTCACAAAAAAAAAGATAAAAATTTCATATGGGTACAGTGTTGCATGACCGCGCAATTGTCATTCAAAGTGCAACAGCGCTGAAAGCTGGAAATTGGCCTGGGCAGGAAGGGGGTATAAGTGCCCTGTAGGCTTGTGGTTAATAGAACAGTAGGTCTTTGCACCATGATATGTTTACATTAGGAAAGGTTATTGTCAGAGTTGAGGTTACAGAGAGGCTTAGTGTTGAGTTGGGCTAAAAAGAAAGTTAGGGTTTCAGAGAAGGTTATAGTAAGGGTTATGGTTACAGGAAAGGTTTGGATTGGGGCTACAGGGAAGGGAGTTGTTAAATGAAGGATTAGAGTCAAGGCTGGAGTTACAGCATTGGTTACAATGAAGGTTAGTGTCAGGGTTGGGATTATAGTGAGGGTTAGGTTTGGAGTTACAGGAAGAGTTAGTGTTGGGGTTAATGGGAGAGGGTTAGTGTCTGGGTTGAGGTTACAAGGAGGATTATATAGGGTTAGGATTACAGGAAAGGTTAGTTTAAAGCTTGATTACTGTTAGGACTGGGGTTACACATAGGTTCATATGAGGAGGCATCACTTTCTGTGCCAAAAAGGCCAGTGCTAAAAGCTAATGTATAAACATTTTGAAGGTAAATGGAACATCTGACTAACCTCATTGTAACCATACTTTGGTAAAAACTGCTACCCATCATGGCTGTTGGTTGTGTTGAGTAAATTGGTTGTGTTGAACTGCATTCCACATACTATAAGTGTACTATATATGATACTTCAATAATGTGTATCAGTATACTGTACACTCACTGGCCTCTCTTTTAGGTACACCTGTTCAATTGCTTGGTAACACAAATTGCTAATCAGCCAATCACATGGTAGCAACTCAATGCATTTAGGCATCTAGACATAGTGAATATGACTTGCTGATGTTGAAACCAAACATCAGAATGGGGAAGAAAGGGAATTTAAGTGGCTTTGAACATGGCATGGTTGTTGGTGCCAGATGGGCTGGTCTGAGTATTTCAAAAAGTGGAATTTTCATGCACAACCATCTCTAGGGTTTAAAGAGAATGGTTCAAAAAAGAAAATATTCAGTGAGTGGCAGTTGTGTGGATGAAAATGTTATGTTGATGTCAAGGGTCAGAGGAGAATGGGCAGACTGGTTAATAGAAAGGCAACAGTAACTCATGTCAATATGGAACAAAATCTCTGAGGAATGTTTCCGACATCTTGTCGAATCTATGCCATTTAGGTAGTTAAGAATTAAGGTGGTTCTAAAGGCAAATGGAGGTCCAACCTGGTACTAGCAAGGTGTACCTAATAAAGTGGCCAGTTAGTGTATATGTCCAAATAAGGTTCTTGTTTGTGTAGCTATTCTTCAGAGCACATGGGGTGTTCTTAATTCCACCCTAGGGTAGTGTAACACAAAATGGCTTAAAGTGGTTGTAAACCTAAGACATGAAATATGAACAAAGCTTATCCCTCCTATAATGTGCACTTGTTTCAATCCAGAGTACCAAGTGTCATTTCTTGTGCCTCTGCTATCATTATGAGTCATTTCTGACAAGCGTTCCTGATGCCAAGAGAAAAAAGTTGACAGGGGAGGGATCCCCAGCATGCAGCCTGTGAATGACAGCCTCAGCTCTGTTCCTGTGTGCTGTGTGAAGGATGAGGGTGGGGGTGTCCCCTCCCTCCAATCAGTTCTTAGCTCTCCTAACTGAGCTCTGCAAAGAGTAACTTCAGCTCCCCGCCCCCTGCTTTCTGAAAGTTGAGACAAGATGTGTAAATTCTGGACTTGTGACGGCTGTAGAGGAGAAATGGCTGCAGGTACAAGTGCATTGTATGCAGGAGGATTTGTTTCATTTCTGTGTATCAATTGAGGCCAGTCACTTAACTGGGTATATGTAAGGGCTTACAACCACTTTAATGCTGCAAAAATCAACAATGATTAACTGTAGTGCATTTCCTATAAAGCAGATTGCTTCCAAAAGCTACAGTGGCTCCACAAAGCTCCCTTATGTGCTTATTCACATTCCAGAAATGGTGAGATTGTTGTGGAGCATATTTTATTCATTGCTATAGTGCTGAAATATTCTGAAGCACTTTTCAGAGTACACATCACTTTAAGAAAAGAGAATAGATTCTTGTGCTACGTGCACTAAGTCCATAGATCGGACCCTACCTGGATCTAACATGGTGGCCACCAACAGAGAAATCAGGTTTCTGGAACCTGCTGCTGATATGGTTGACGTACAAGCTTTTGGAATGTGAGTGCAATATCTTGATATTGTATCCTTTTATTTAAGTCTGTTCTCTTTGTTCTTTTTATAATTCCTACTTAGTGTTTCCTTATAATATAGCGCTTCTCCCTATATGCATCGAGCTGCAAGGCTGGATTTGCCGAAAGCTTCTATACTTATGAGCTAAAAGGCAATATTGTGTGGACTTTACTACTTGGATTTCTTTCATTTTGCTGCCAGTGGAACTCCTACTAATTAAATTGTCTCTACAGTATTTTGCTAAGACATTCAAAGTGATTTTCATACATTGTTGCAATAGTTTGTATTCTGTAGTGCAGTGTCTTTCAACCTTTTTTTCAGTTGTGGCACCCTTTAAAATTCTTCACCCCAATCTAAAAGGTAAGAAAAACAAAACTAGGTTTTACATAATGCAGCTGCATCCACGCATATAGGACACCTAACATTAGAGGTGATTTATTCTTACAAAGCAAATACATCTTTTACACAATGGTACTGACTAGTATTCCATTATTTATCTTCTCCCTCATTTTGTCTCCCTCACTCAGCTAATATGACCCCAGTGCTGACGGAGAGGGTCAGGGTAAGGGGCAAAGAGGGGGCAACTGATGTGCTCCTTATCAACTGATGATATCATTAGTTGTTAGGACATCGACTTCTAATTGTAATTCTACACAATAAAAACCTTTGACTTTGTGAAACAAAAAGGCAAGCTTGATCCACTTGCTGGCTTGTGGACAGTTTTTGAGAAATTTAGGGAAATTTTTAGGCATTTTGCCAATGTACCCTTGAAGAACCCAAAAGGCACTCCAGGGTGCCATGGCGCCCTGGTTGAAATAGGCTGGTCTAGTTTGTTGACTTGGTCTGGTGTGTATATCATGTCCAGTTAGTAACTTTTGTCACTTTAGTCCCTTCACCAAACAAGATTAAAATCTAATATACTTTTCGCAGGCATACATATACACTTCCACATTCAATTAAGTGGACCACCCGAAAGAAAACTATGCAAGTATAAATCAAATCTTGAATATGGTTGCATGTAGCACTTATGGTAGGAGTAGAGCATATACAGTATCTCAGTGTTGCAAAGCCACAATATTAACCACTAATCTTGGCCCATGTTCCACTTTAAAATTAGAGCTTTGTATCTAATGCTGTTACAAGTTTGTAATTGATTGCTGTCTTGAACTTGATGGATGCTTAGCTGTCCAGCTGAGGAGATAAATTACAGGAAAAACACCCAGACATCTATTTAGATGGCTGAGACTGTGGGTGGGTGATGTTTTACCTGCTGCGAACAAAAGCCATGTAGAGCCTTTAATTCACTCACACAGCTGTCCCATGTCTGAGTTTGTAACTGAATCTGCTGCATCCCAAAGGTGGCGTTGCTAATCTGTTCAAGGACAGACTGCCTTCGCTTATGTTAGTTTTGTATATAAACAGCCATGGGGGTAACAATGTAAACTCACAGTCAAGATGCACTTAAACAGTTCCCTGTGGTTATTTAAAAATGTGATGATGTTAGCTCAACAGCATTTACTTGTTGCATTTCCTTGGCATGAAAAAAACAATGGCTTAGATGTGACAAGCGCTTGTTGAGTCCTTTCTGCTCGTTCCTCAATGCCTTGTATTGTTTTTGCTTTATAGTCTTCTAGCTTGTTAAAATTTGCCTGCAGTCCCAATGAAAACAAAATACCCCTCATGTGAATTGTACATTCTAAGTAATTTGCCTCTTACCATAACAGACACATGTGTGCATGATATGATTTTTCTGTGCTATAAAACACATGGCCAGACAAGCAATTATTCGCTGCAAGGAGTCGGATAATTAAGCAATAATTACTAATAATGGCATTAGCCTGCTGTAAATGTTGTGCCTAGGGATTATAAGACTTCCATAATGTGTAATGAATACCAATGAGGTATGCATTAACAATTTATACTAGTCTGATAGTTATTGGTTGGAATATTGTCTTTTTCTGTTGTTGGTGACTAAAGCACAACATACACTGGCTGATTTTTCATTATTGGGAAATTGTATCCAATATCTTCTACACATTTGTGTGACTATAGCCAGGCTGGGGAGTTCTATTTCCAGTTTCAACAATTCTTTCTGCAGTTGTTGAGATTATATCTTCCAGAAAGCCGCCTGTAGATTTCTGTTTGTACCAGTTTGCCTGTCCTTCCCTGCGCCTGCTAGTTCATATAGTAGGGTTGAGGGTGTTCTGGGGGGTGAAGGAGGGGGATTTTGTTGGGGTGGAGCTGTGCCTTCTGGAGGGGTTTTCCTTTGGGGG